CAGATTTATATATACATGAAGTAATAATTAGGTTAAATATTTTTGGATTATTTTTTACTAATATTTGTAAAAATATGTATATATATGTTTGTATATATAAATTTATGTATGTATGTATGTATGTATGTATTATTATTATTTTTAAAAATCAATTTTAGTTACATTATTTATAATATTCATAAAATATTAATACTATTAATTTTATATATATATTTAAATTCAAAGATTATCTATTCTATGAATTTAATATATTATTTAAATTATATAAATCTAAAAAAAAACTTTAGAATCTTTGCTTTAAAGATTTAATATTTAATTATTGATAAAAAAAATAAAATAAATTAATATATTAATTTCAAATGGTATTTATCAATTATGTAATTCTAAAAATATCCATTTGAATAATCATTTGATATCATATATTTGATAAATTAAATTGAAATCACATACTATTAATATTTGATCTCAAATATAATTGATAAATTAAAAAAACAATTTTCGATGTGGAATTTAAATTGTCATTTATAGGAAGAAAAATCTTCAAAGAATAAGAAGAAGTACATTAAAAGAGTATTACATAAAAATGACCATAGAAAAAATTAAGATGTACACCTTGACATGTTTATAAAACATACATCTTGACATACATTCTTGAAAGTCCAAATTGCAATGCATGAAAAACCACTAAAATCTGGATGCAAGAGGATTTTAGTTCACATGCTCAATATGTGCCTTCAAAAAATATATCCTTCAAAAAATTGAGGAAGATTTTTGGTAGATTAATTACAAAGTGAAGAGATAGATTGTTGGCTTCAAATCCAAACTCCAATTGAGTGCCTATTTATTTGACAAAGAAGGAATGTGTACATAATTCATAAAAATGGTGGCATTTGTTGGTTGTCTGCTCAATCCTTCTTAATAACTTTGCTAGGAAAACTTTTCTTTTTTTTGGAATTCTTAATCCTGCGGTGCTCAAACAAAATGCATAGATGCAAGCGGTATAAAAAATAAAAAATCTCAATAGATGTTTATCTTGTGAACCATCATAAAATGTTCACAATTTCTAGTGGTATAAAAAATAAAAACTTTCAGCAGATGCACTACAATGTGTAGTGGACAAAAAAAAAAACAATGGCAGCTAGCTATAAAAAATAAATAAATAAATAAGAAAAAAGAAAAATACAATAAATGATTGTAATAATGAATTAGCTACAAATGCACTTGCAATTATATTGCTTTGCAATTAAAAAGTTCAAAATTCTACAACTGCAATGCAATAACACCAAATCATGGAATTGAACTTTGAAAAATAAATTGAAATACATTTGTCAATTATAATGTCGATCACATTAAAAAATGTTAAACATGCTAGGCTTCATAGAGTCTATACTCAAGATAATGAATGAGTGTAAATAAATGGTCATAATATTAAATGAATTAGCGACCAATGCATTTGTAAAGATATTGCTTTATAGTTAGAAAGTTTTAAAAAAATTGAATTAAGATGGATTAGACTATGCATGCTTAACATGAAACCACATACTTTATCAACATTCTAAAGGTGCTTAAATTTTAAAGCTAATCTTAAGCTTAGTATTCTAAAGATTTTTATTGAAATCATACTTGACAAGTTCATATCACGGTGGAATTACACTTTGTCACTACTTTATTAAAACACTGCAAAAGTCTAATTCAACTCACATGAATGAAAATCAAAAACAAAAAAAAAGATGTTGATTAATAAAACTTTATAGTTGATAGTTTTAAGGAATCAAATAGAGAAAAAGGTAGTAAAAGACTTAGTTTTAATATTATCTATTTACTTTATAGAACCTAAAATGAATCAAATTAAAGCAAATGAGATAAGAAAATTGATATAGGCTTATTTTTAAAAAAATCAAAAATAGATTAAAGTAAAACTTAACTCAAATTACCAAAAATTGATACTCAAAAAGATCAGTTATCAACCAAGGTTAAAATCAAACTTTGAGGCACAAAATTGCATTTATATAGTGACTCCAAGGTTTTTTTGTAGATCAAAGAATAGAATTTGAAAGCAAACTAGAGGAGAGATTTTTAAGTATTGATTTTATATCATTTATATTAATATTGAGATCTCAAGGAATTCTTAAAGTTATTGATGTTTTATATGGTATGAAGATTTAAAAAATAAAAATGTATTTATAAATTTAAGAATTTCTTGGGTTTTGTAGTATGTATACAAGTGAAATTTAAGTAGTATATTGGTGTGCTGATTGAGAATGTGTATACAAGTTTTGAGGTCAATCAAACAATTAGATTGAAGTATATGAGGGTTTTTATGGATTGAGATCTCACAAATTAGAGTTTGAGGATCAGAGAGTGTTTCTAAGATCTTCAGCAATTTGTCAGTTGGATTGAAAAGAAATTATTTTATATAGATATTAGACTCAATTTTTAATATTTGGATGAAATTTGAGAGCAATTTAATGAATCAAGAAGGAGATATTGGCATTGGAAGTATTCAAGTTGGAATAAGAGGCCGCCCAACATCCAATTGGATTATCTTGCATTTCTCTCAATTGGTATGTGCAATCAATTTCATCTTTCTTGTGCTTGTTTCTAATTAAGATATTAAAAAGTTTGTAAATTTTGAGTCGATATCAATGGTTCAATCATTAAATGTTGAGGTTTCAATCTACTACAGGATTTACTAAGAATTTTTTTATGATTTAAAATTTGATTAGAATTTTCTTAGGATTTGATTTAGGATTTTTTTAGGATTTAGAATTTATTAGGATTTTATTAAGATTTGACCTAAGATTTGATTAAGGTTCAATTAGGATTTAAATTATGATTTAATTTAGGATTTGATTAAGATTTAATTAGGGTTTTATTTAATATTTGTCCAAAGATTTGATTAAGATTCACTAGGATTTTAATTAGGATTAAATTAGGATTTGATTAGAATTTATTTAGGATTTTTATTTTTATTATTTCTTTATGATTCTTTATTTTTTCTTTAAATTTTTTTATTTCTAATATTTCTTTAAGATTATTATTTTTTTTTTAAAGGTTTATTTTTATATTTATTTAATATTTCTTGTTATTTTTTTTTGAGATTAGTTTAGAACTTCTTTGTGTTTCTTTTAAAGTTTTTATTTCTAATATTTCTTTAAGATTATTATTTTTTTTAAAAGGTTTATTTTTATATTTCTTTAAGATTTCTTGTTATTTTTCTTTGAGATTAATTTAGAACTTCTTTTTATTTCTTTTATAACTTCTTTTAAATTTATGTTGGATTAATTAAAGTTTAACTAGAATTATTAAGGTTTATATAAAGTTTATTTGAGATTCTATTAGACTTGATAGGATTGTTGCTACATTTCTACTTACCTTCTATAGCTAGATGCCTGGTGTATTTTCAAGCAAGAATACATGTAATATAACAATGGTTTATGAACTTTGTAAAATGACCTACGAACTCTAAAGAAGGTGGACTTTTTTGGTGAAAATGAAGACCCATCTATGTATTAAATGAGAGCCATCACTTGTCTTTTTGAGCAATCTTAATATATAGATAACATCAAAGAACATAAATAAAACATTCAGGAATATGATATCAAAAAATCAAAAAACTAATATTTTTTTATTTATGTAAGGTTATTAAAGCTTATATTACAAAAAAATTAGTCAAATATATTTTTTTATTATCAAATTTAACTTATATATATATATATATATATATATATATATATACTCATTTATTTATCTTAGTATTTTAATATTTTTTAAAATTAAATTTATCCTTTTTTTAAAAAAGTTCTTTATATGTATTTAGATGTAATGTTACATATAAATTATTATTTGGACTTCTAATGATGTTTTTAATAATTCGAGTTTATTCATTCATAATCTTTATAAATACGTGTTTTTTTTTCTGTTAATTATTTTTTAATGTATCATACTAAAATATAATAATCAGATCATGTCACAAATATATTACAATATTATAAATTATATTAAAAGAAATACAAGTTATGTACTAAAAACATAAAAAACTCATCCTTATCCTTCAATAATATTTTTGAATTTTATAAAAGTTGTGAATGAGTTGTATAGAACTTTTTTAATCAATTTTAATGTGATTGCATACTAAGATTCATATGTTATATTATAAAAATTATTTTTCTTGGCAGTAAAATCGAAATAACATAGATATTTTTTTATCATGCCAAAATATGTTACATGTATGTAAAAAATCAGTTATTTTTTGTAAAATATGATACTTTTGAAATTCACAAGTTATAACTACAATTCTAAATGAAATAGAGGTATTTTTTACAAATATAATTATGTATTTGTAAAAAATCATGTAATAAAATTTACAATTTACATCACATTTTTGTTATTTCTTTGCAATACATGTACATGACACAACTTATAGTTGATGATTTGTTAATAAGTACAAATCATTTCAATTTCTAATTTAAACACCAAAGTACATCAGTTGAAGTGTGAACACCCAATCACATCATTCATAGATCAATAACAATTTTGTCAAGAAAAATAAAAATTCTTAAATTCAAGAAGGTATAAAATGAAAATTCCCAGGAAGCGAAACAGTTTCAGTTACTCCTACTGAAACACAATGAAAACAAAACATTGAATGAAGAGATTTTAAAAACACACCCCAACACCGTGTTTCAAAAGACCCCTACAAACGGTTATACATCCCAGAGGTCATGGGATCCACGGCTATGGGCGAGAGATTCGAGAGGGAGAGGAAGGAGACCCCCCACAATTGGTAAAAGCGCGGTTGAATCTTCTTCCTGGTGGGAACCTGGACGACGACGACGACGAGAGCGGAGCAAACGAAGCAGATGTGTTGTTCGGAATGAATCCACAATCCACACCCGGATCGATCGATTCCCAATCTCCCTCCCTCCGTGGCTTCTTATCGACGACGTCGTCGTCATCGGAATCGTGCTTCTTCCCTTCCAACCCCCCCCCCCCCCCCCCTTTTTATTTTCTTTTTCTCTCAGCTGAATTTCACCATGTGAAATTGTGGAACCCGTTTTACATCTTCGTTCGCTGTTGCTGAGGGGCACTCTGCTGCTGCGGACGAGCTTGGCGGTGTGGAATTGAGAGTGCTGTGGGCGCTGGAATGCGGAGCTACACGCATCCTGTGCACTACGGGGCAGCTGCGGCCCTCTTCTCGGCAGCTCCCTTGCCCTCCACGCAACTCAGGTAGGTTTGCTCCGAAGTTTCGAGCTTGTTTTGGCTTTGTTTAGTCTGTTGGTTGACGTTTTGGGGTTGTGGATAAGGTTAGCGACGAAATTTGATTGTGTGTTTTTTCGAATGATACCAGGGAATCACTGCAGGGGAGTGCGTCAATTGTGAACTGTTGTAGTCGAGTTGGTGATCGCCTGGGAATCCTTTATAGAGTTGGGTTAGGTTTGCGTTGTGGTGTTAGCGTAAAGTCACGGATTAGCGTCTCTCCGGTGTTGATTGCCCGCTTGAGGCATAGGACCAGGGGTTCTGGATGTGCGGGAAGTGTCAGTGGTAATTATCACCAAGTTAGAGAAGCGGTAACTATGCAAAGGTTACTCATTGTGACGCAGAGGCGGACTCCTGTGGATTCCAAGATTGGCAGGCCGTGTTTAGTATGTAGGTCTGGTGCCAGCAGCAGCAACAACAATGAAGCAGAAGCTGGAGATGACGATTTTGACAAGAGAACCGAGCTTGAGGTGAGTCCGCCGCAGGATGCAGTGCTGAAAGCGATATCTGAGATTTCCAAGGCGGAGGGCAGGGTAGGGAAGACAACTAATATGATCATCGGAGGGACCGTGAAGGAAGAGTCATTGGAGTCTGAGCTTCAGTGGAATGCTATTGATCAGAAGGTGAACGTGTATCCCATGGTAAGGGATTTCACCGCTATTGGTACTGGAGGTGATGAATTTGTGCAAGCCATGGTGGAGGCTGTGGAGGCTGTAACTGAAAGCCCCGTGCCCAAGGTGACGAAGAAAATGTCTGCCAAAGGGAAGTATGTTTCTGTTAAGATTGGTGTTACGGTGACTTCTAGTGAGCAGGTCAAGGCTGTGTATGATGCCATGAGGAAGGACGTGCGAATGAAGTATTTCTTGTAGAGATAGGCTGAAGGTGCAGAATTTCATTTTTATCTTTCATGTTAGTTGAATATTTTTCACGAAATTGAGTGCTACAGCGTGCGGATGTCAATCCTGCACTGTGGTGATTGTTGCGGTGACCCTTCAATGCTAATTTTGTAAGGTCCTTGAAGTCCAAATATTCAGAACAGTCGCTGTAACATTGTTTCATGAAACGTAAGTTCATGTTGCTATGGTTGGCTTAGGCAGTTTTCTTTCTTGGATTGGTGTGATGTTGGTGATTACACAAAATTCATTATTGCTTGCACAAATTGATTGCTGCGCTGCTATAGTATATTGTTCATGAAAAGGCTAACTTTTCCTGCTCTTCAACACCTTCCCTGCTGAAGCATCTTTCTAGTAATACTAGGTCAGTTGAAAACCGAAGATGACTACTTTTGTTGCCTGCATTGCCTATTCCATCTACAGATGCTCGTGAAAACTTGTCAGAATCAGTAAGAAGTTAATTGCCATAGGGGAGAGGGAGATTAGAGTTGACACTATTATGTGCTTTATGTGGTTACGTCATGCTCAGCCTGCTAACATAACTGAGCGCAAGTAAAGTTGTTGGAGGGGTTTCATGTGTGAGCAGCAAGTGGTTGTCTGGGATGAATTACTGCCGAAGATGGTGTCGTTTAACACAGGTGCGGCAAGTCGGTTCATTCCGACTTCCAGCTCTCCATATTCGTACCACATACGATGAAATTTATCACATGATTACTGTGGAACAACTCTTCCCCGGCTGCAATGATCTGGTACCTGTTTACTGTCCTGTAGACAATTAGTTGTAGAACCGCAGGATTAAAGTCGGAATTGAATGTAATGAGAAGGAAGGGAATGCGCATTACTATGCGGTATTTTCGTTGTCATTATAGACAGAGGTATATGTGTATGCTGCTTTAAATTGCGAGAAGGGCTTGTCAACATATATTGTCATTACTACGGGAGTGGGCACGAGCTGCAGTGCAATTATACACCCCCTCTTCTCTAGTTTCCCGTTCTGGCAGAAAATTACTGGTAGTCACTTCCGAAAAAACTCCCCGCCATAGAATTTTGAAACCAAACCAATGTTGCACTGAGCCGAGAAACGTCCCAATATGTCAGCTTCGCAAAGGCGTGAATTTCAAGTTGCTCATGCACTCATCTGATTCAAATTAATACTCCCCTGGAAAGAGTAGGTGTGGACGAACACCAGAAATGGTGCAGAGAGATTTCCAAACATCACGCATTGTGGTGCTTAACCTGGTGCACAAGCTCGGTTCATGGAGAAATAACTGACAAATTCTAAACGCTCATTTTCATGTCGCAGATTATGACTCGCAGAAGACACATTTGATGTCTTCTACAACTTAAGGCTGGTGTTTTGCTTTAGTAAATCAAAGCAACAAGAAGAAAGAAGTAAAATGAACAACTCTAACTGCGCTCACTAAAATATTCCAAGTATTACACAAATATTACGTTTCTTTGTCGCTGCCGCTGCCACTGCCGCATGACCCTTCTGACCCTGAACCAGAGCCCAAGTCGAGCTCTTCATCTGAATCGATCGAGTTCACAAAATCGTAATAAGGAGTTACCTGTCAAACAACATCAAACCCTTACTATTACTATTATAATTATTATGATAAGGACCTTTCGGTCACACCATTACAGCCTAACGTATGCGCTATAATTCAAAGAAAACCACGAGCATGGACTCGTACAAAACCAGTTAACATTAGGACCACAAGCTACCAAATCACTCGAAATGACTTGTACCTTAGGACGAGGTTGAACAGCTTCAAACTCAAAAAAATGAGGCGTGGAAAAATCTGGTGCCTCCAGCACAATGTACGCACCCTTATTGTTATACCGCTCCCCAGAAGCCTATTAAATAGAAACAGAAGTGAAAATCAGCATACCAACGAATCCAGCATCTAACATGGTAAACACACGTGGATCTGAAAACGTTTAATTTCAGAAAGTCCTAGATTATCAGTGATTTTTTAGTCCCAGAGTGCAAGATTAACACACCTGAAACTGAGGATAATCAGGGGCACTAAACAATGTGATGAGTTTGCCAGCCTTCACTACATGATCAATTGTATAACCCTTATTCATAGGGTCCATCTCTGGCCTCTTGTCCCTGGCGTCAGGACCTTCGTGGGACCTCACAATTAACTGCATCCATACCCACAACAGCTGGACTCGTTAAAGAACCCCCTTATGAAATAAATTATAAACTGAAGATTTCTTGTATGAAATGACTAACACCTCGTGCAGATGGACAGAACTGTGGATGGAACTCAACCAGCAATAAAGAAAGAGTGGCAAGACAAATAGGCTTGTCAAAAGCTGCAAAGAATAAAACTTCAGGGATGCAGAACATTCCAAGGAAAAGTGTTGAAGTTGCACAAGCTTGTTTGAATATAGGCATAACTTGTACCTTGAGCTTGTGTTTTTCCATAAATTCTTGCGTGCAGTCAGGACCGAAAAAAAGGCCTATACCACGAGAATCGTTATGGGAGAGACCATTCTCAGGCGAAGGGTCTGACCACAGCACGTCCCCAGGAATCACATTGGTTCCGAAACCAGATGGGTCTAAAACCATCCGCCTTGCCTTTGCTAAATCATCTAATGTTCCAAGTTTTAAAGCCTTCTCGGCATTCCGCCCAGACAGCAACCGCCTGTCGCCACCATTGACGTTGTTGTTCAGACAAGCAAACGAGAAAATACCTCTGTTACGGATATGAACCACGAGCCCCAAACAAACAGTAAGATATTCACCTTTTCTATTTCACTAATTTAGAAGAATATTAAAAAAATAAAAAATAAAAAATAACGAAGAAGAAAAAAGAAAAAAATAACGAATGCAACGTGCTAGGGTTGGTACCAGACGGTGACTCAAATGAAGAGAACACGGGTAAGAATTGCACCTGTAGCTTTTGCCTTTGGTTTTCTTTGGGGGCTCTATCTCAACCTGCCGGAAGAGCCCACCATGGGCCATGTACACGCACCCAGCCACCCGGGCGGCGAGAGGATGCCCTTCGAAGCAACCCAGCAACTTGCGATATACGTGCTTGGATCTGTCGCCAAACTTCGACGCGACTTCTTGCTCGAATCCATATGCACTGGTACAAAACTTGGTCTCATGGTTTCCCCGCAACAAGAATACACGGTGGGGTAACAAAAGCTGAAAGACAAAAAGACCTTTTCCTCCTCAATAACTGACAAAGTGAACCCATGTAAAGATTTAGGGTTGACACCAACCAGAAAAAGACCTCTACCAAATGAATCAACTCCGTTAAACTTTTGCAAAACTACCAGTAGTCAAAACTGTTATACTAAGGAATTTGAAGAAGTTGAACACAATCGATTCTTAAAATAGTACTGGAGTGAAATTTACTAACCTTCCACGCAAGGAGATAGAAGTAGGTCTCAAAGCCCCAGGCACCTCTATCCACGTAATCGCCATTGAACACAAATAAGCGATTAGCAGAGGGAGAGCCAGCGATTTCAAGGAGGTGCAAGACGTCGTGAAACTGTCCATGAACATCTCCAACAAGCACGGCTTTGCATGAAAGGTCCACTGGAACTTCCACGCAATTTGCCTCCCGGTGTAGAATCTTCAGACATGGATCGGGAACAGTCAGTACTGTTAAGCATCGTCATAACATTGAACCATGCATCATTATCTTGGAAATTTGAAGAGTTCTCCTGAACGACAATGACTGATAGAATCAACTCCGAAGTGCAGCCAACAGATCAGCTCAATTGCCCACATTGAAACACAGTACAACATTACTCGGCAATATCAATCCAGCTTGCAGGTTTACACCGAACAATTACCACTTTTCAAAACTACCGAAAATGCTTGGTTACTCTCATCCACTCACGCAAAAACAAGGGTGAAAACTTACAGGTTTTCAGTACAGACAATTCTAATTCAGTGTGATAGAAATTAAGGAAAGTACTAAGAAGTGAAAAGGGCAGAAACGAGAGATATTAAAAACACATGAAGTACTTGCAGGGTTTTCAAAGAAAACTCAAGTTTGGCAGCAACAAATTTAAATCAAGCCACGATGCTGGGTGTTCCAATCTCTAATTCAGCTAAATTTAGAATTTAAGGCTCATTAAAACAAAAAGTAAATATAAAAAAACAAAAAAAATGATCACCTAGATCGCCTGACAGCAACATAGATTTCAAGGAGGGAATGTTACAGATTTGCTACAGAACAGACGTAAGTGACTTCGAGCTTCACTGAAATTTTCGCAAAAGATTCAGAAAAGCCCCTCAAGAGCATGACACTCGAGGGAGAACACCCATAGCTAAACCTCAGAACATACTCTCATCTGGCGCATGTTACGAAGAAAAAAAATATTATCCCAAACTCTCACTTCCGAAGTCATTCCCAAAATCCAAGTTACAGAGGAAAATGCTACGCAAGAAACACGTAAAGAATCTGCCACTTCGGAAGAAATGGATAGCAAAAGAACAGAATGGATCCAATCTCTCAAATTCCACTTCCGAAGCAGTCGCATTGCGAAGATCCTCACAAAATGGTGCTGCGTCAAGAAAGAATTTAAGGAACCCTCCCATAGCACGATTCGACGAGAACATACTGCCCAGATTCGAAAACTCGCCACCATTCGTCACGGAAAAAAGCGAGCGAAAAGAAGAAACCTCGCTGACCTTGTGAGCTGCCAGCAGTAGCGAATCAATGACGGAGACAGGCAGCACAGTGGGCAGCTCCGAGGGCAGCAAATTGCGGGAGGCAAAGTCCAGCGTCTTGCCCAGCTTCTGCACCCACTCCAGTGTCAGCGCTCCATTCTCCGGCCAACTGACCGTCATGAGCCCTTCACCATCCTCGCCCATTGCAACCGCTGATTGTTGCGGGCTCTCATTCTGTTGCTGCTCTTGCAGTTTCTGGGCGGAAAAAGCGCGCGTGACGCGTCGTGGTGCGTCCATGTACGCTCGGTGGTGTCAGAAATATACTTAACGTCCGAGAGGCGCATCGCTGTGCTGCCGAGCTCTGCAACACAGCTCCTACAACTCCAATGCACACTCCCCCCCCTGAGACACACAACAACTCCGCCAAATCTCTAGTTCAAAATTCCACTACCAACACACAAGCGCGCACTGCTCACGCTCATCTTCGGAAAAAGGCTATTGAAATCGGAGGATGTCTTATGAAGAAGAAAAGAGCTGAAGAAGTCCAACTTTCTGCGGAGGTAGCCATAATGGCACACATCTCACTCCAGTTGGTTAACCCTAATAAAATCTTCAAGTGCGATGTGGGTCCGGTCTTGATGAGCAAGTTCAGGATTTTGTTATATCCGTCACCTCGACTTGTGAACTGATTCCAGAAGCTGGCTATTCTGGTAGGGATGGCCGGCCTGGTGGCCCACCGGAAGCGGAAGTGCTTGTGATTCGTCGCAGATGATTGGGCGCGCGGAGCAACCGAAACGCTCCGTCATCCGAGTAACTTTCTCGTGGTTCGCGAATAATGGTTCCAGATGAGTCGCTCTCCATGTCAAGATCCAGCACTATTGCCAGCCTGCCTATGCAGGGCCCTCAGTGCTGCCCTGTAGCCACATTCTCTCCTTTTCTTAACTCCTGCCGAAGCTCTGCTCTTCCTCCACAAGGCTCGCTGATGATGATGACGATATTCCGATGCGTCATTTACTTGATTGCCCCATCAACTGGGTAACCAACTAGAGCTTGATTCACACCCAAATGGCGACACCTTGCTAACGTCCAGAAACTTCCGTTGAGTTCCAAGTGCCAACGCCACCTAGGTTTTCGTCTTGTCCCACGTCGTGTTTATGTAAACTTCAGCACGGTAGGTGGGACACAATCAAAGCCCATCAGTTTCATATTGACTGGATGTTCCAAAGCAAGATTCTGTCCCAATAACTCACATGACAAGAATACCATAAGAATCCAACAGTGACCGAGGTAAAATGGAGTGGGTCAATAATCTTTGAACACACATTCTTCACAAATAAGATCAGCCGGCAGTAACTAGTAAACAATTGCACAACACTTGAATTTCGTCCCAAACTCTTGGAGCTCAACATACTCGAAGCTCTCTATTGGCCGCAGCCAATGCCGCATTTCAACTGTAGAAGGTCCGCTGACGTACGCTAAGATTCCTCACATGTGGGTGACAACGGTGGGGGCTTTGCACAACTCTAACTGACCTTCTTTTTCATTCTTGCTGCACCTTACTTTCACTCGCAGGTGTGTCTTCCTATTTGAAACCGTTGTTCCAAATTTTTTTAAACTTTTTCTTGCTCATTCTGCCGCTTGAAGAACAGTTTCTCTTCTCAGGTTTTTTTTCTTTTTTTCTTTTTGTTTTCCACGTTGATATTCATCTTTTTCGATTGACAACTTCTGAAGTGGTGTCGAAAACGAATCGTCTAAGTGTCGCCCTCTGTTACGTGCAAATTGATGTGCGAAAATGGTGAACTTAGGTGACAGTGTTTTGTACCGCACCCTACACAGGGAAGAGGCAGTAAGCTACTTCAATGGATGAGGCAGTTAGCACAATGAATTATCCTTTGCGATTTTCTTTGGTGTAAAACTCCTTTTTACAATGGCAGGTTGTTGTAGATAACGCTTTTCAAACAAGCATGCTGGTGGAAGCAACGGTGAATTAGATTCCCGACATGTCTTGAGGTACCTGGCGTACTTCAATCTAACATGAAACGTAACTCCCTTGGCGCTTTAAAACAAGCAGATGCCCCACTTGATGTGCCGTTCTTTCCATCCAAACACAGTACGGCTCGGTACTTGGGAGTTTGCCACCATGGAAGCATTAGCATTGACAAGGCAGTGGGTCGTTGATCAGTTTTTCCTAGCTTCTACCAGCACTACATGAAATCCTTGCCTGCAACATTTTTAACATACAAATGAGGAGTAATTCAGTGCAAATAAGATGAACTTCACCCATTTCCTTCTTTTAAGGTAGTTTCAAATTCTTCTGCATACCAAATAATCATCAATGTGAATAGAATTGTGCATATTATGGAGACGGCAAATCTTCTGCTGTATGTGAAAGATAACCGCACAGTGGATATGTGGATGGTGAAGTGGCTTACGAGGATTGGAAGACGTTGCTGCACGAACCAACGGGAGTGGTGAAGGAAACCTCTTGAAAGGGCCCAGCTGTGCCTAGTTTTGCTCGAGCAACCCACCCCAAGTCGCCTCCATCCTTTGCTGACCTGCACTCCGAATATTTCTTTGCAAGCTACATGTTTTCGTAGCTAGCCATGTTGTCAGTGACTTCATCATGTCGACATGATCACGGCTGGAACGTAAACTTTTGTGGTTCAAACTTAATGCATTAATGCATCTCAATCCAAAGCTGAATAATGATATACATGAATCGGAAGAAGTGGAAGAATCGTGAGAAGAGTTAGAAGTAACTACTTTGCTGAACTCCTTGGGAGGCACTTTGTGCCCGAAGACTAACCACCCTCGTTGAAGTTGGTTATAAACATCCATCATCAAACCCTGCTTCTCTGAGAGGATGTGTCTCACTGCCATCATGCAAAGCTGATTTCATAAACGAAAGGACACCCAAGATAATTAATGCCTCGTGCTTAAACACTCAGCTGTCCGGTAAATGTCACCATTTTCAGTAGCGCATGATAAACAATAGCCGGGTATGCAACAAATTCACGAGCAATTCTACAGAGTCTGCTTGAACGCAATAAGCTCGAGTCTACCTTTAACATAAGTGCAAGTTCCTATGGAATCCATGTTCGACTCCCGACGCGCTTGGATTGTTTGTTCTCGATCAATTTGCAACATACTCTTGCCTCTTCTCTACCATGGCCAATACTAAACCCAGATTTAGTTTCAGTCTGCACGCTAAATGGTATTTCTAATACTAAATCATACTTAAGGAGAATCCAGGAATGATAATTGACCATAAAAGACCTGATGCTACTAACAGCCCCGGATAACCGTGAAGTCAGAGCCCAACCATTGTCACTACGTCAACACCAACCTTCGTATGAAGGGTAATTTAATCTGTAGGTGATGAGTCCAACCTCTAACACTGCAAAAGGTGTAATTCCGTTCCAGTCCAGAACTCGACTGTATGCCTCATGAGAAAATCTAATAACCTGTTCGAATCTCTCATTGAGATGAACCTCCTTAGCATATGATCTGGAAATTAAATTAAAATCTGTTCAACTTACTCAGATAATTGCATGTTATTGCTCTCTCAACATATATCCAGAGAGTACACTTGACTAATGCCATTATCCCCATTCTATGTAAACGATCCTCACATTTGCAGAGCAAGTGGTGGAAAGGCCATCTATTCTTATACAATTGTGCACCTAGTTGAAACTTCCTGAAGGTATCAGCAGTAATCTTTAACCCTTGAAAGTGGCTAGTAGATATGAGCATCAAAACACAACTCAAAGAGACAACTTCCACTTTGGAACCAAACAGCTGCCGGTAGATGAAAATGTGTCGGGGAAAGAAGCTATAATGTTTTGAAGGACGATGTGCAAAACGGCTATTGCGTAGTGTTTATGGAAAACATTGCTCACCTGGGTCATAATTGAAGTTCGGTTGAATGCTATAGAATTATTCAAGGATGATTTCCTTCGAGATTCTCTAAAACTCACGCTACTCTTCCTCCTGTCCATGAACGATTTCGACCTCGTTTGCGAGAATTGCCCTGTCTTCGAATTCTCCGGTGGCATACTGTCTCTTTTACCGGCGTTCAAGCATCCTCCAAACAATGAACTTCGTGACCATTTCCTCTTCTCGTCCAATTCCAGCATATGCTGAGGCCTGGCCCAGTGCGCTAGCCATCATCAAACGATGCAGGGTGCGGAAGGAAAATAATGCCTCCTCTGTCTACTTTACAATGCTGTGCCGAGCAAAGGGAATGCAGAGTTTATGGGATTGTGACACACTTGATGAGGACGTCTTGGAATTGAGACCCTCGCCTTCGAGCCTCCTCGACACGCGAGTCATGCGCACTGTAAGAGTCATTGTGGAATTTTTCGTCGTCCCAATCCTGGGCACCTTTCAGAGCCATATGACGCTTGTTCTCCGCTGTCACACCTGGAGGCCGTGTTTTCATGAAACCAGGCTGTAGCGTTCCATGGCGATCCTGGGATGGATGGACAGCCTGAGTCTCTTTGAATTCTTCGACACTAATGGCGAAATCATTGCGGAAGCTCTTCAAGAACGTTTCTTCTTTAACTGCCGTCAATTCGCGGACACTTTTTTGTCTCTCCTTCACCTCAGCCATAGCGTTGGCAGCAGAGACCTTTCTCAAGTGCCGAAAAGTGGATGTTTCCTATAGATAGTGTGTTTTCCCATCAAATGTGTTGTGAGGTATGTGTACCGATCACAGCAGCTTCTCAGCAACGAGAGTGAAATGGAAGTAGAATTCGGGATAAAGAAGTGGATGGCAGGGCAAGTTGCAGTGCACTCTGTTTACTATACGTTTCTACATGGAAGAGACTAAGATTGCTGGTTGTTTTGTAAATGCATCATCTATCACGAAGTTGATGGTGATGATCAAATGTAAAAATTCAACATACTCGGTCAGCTACTCTCATAGAAATCTACGTGTGGGGAAGCGGTTAACTGTATGCATGTCATGTAGGAACACATCAAGATGTTGGCAATTGATCTCAACATGTTGGCAATTGGCTTGGCGTTGCGCATTACTGCTTCCATTCCCACCACATTGTGAAGATAAATTATCCGCTGCTATGGACGTCAATTTCCAAAAGTGCAATTTGATATATAAAAATCCCATTACAACACCCATCTACCAACATTAATGTCGGACTCAGGTGTACGGAGTATCATCCGTTCTCTCGGCGGCACATTACTGCCGATCAACGATTGAAAGCGGTCAAGATGCAGAGGAGTGAGGAGAAGGAGAAAACAGCTTCATTCCAGTAAGTTAAGATCACCTGAGATTTTTTGATTCATACAACGGTTCATGACAGTGCAGAGGGTAAGCCCCTTCGGAGGCCTGAAACGTCAAGGATGAATTAAGGCTAAAGGTCAAGCAACTAGTAAGCCACTCTAGGGGGTGGTATCACCACATCAGTCCACCGCCAGGAACAGAAACAATCAAAGACGATCCGTTATGTACAAACATGTGATATTCGACGTCGAATGTCATTTGGTATGCAAAGCTTTGAAACGAATTGATTGTCGACAAGTTCGAATTAAAATTGCAAATTACAGTTGAAATCACACGGTCTCCTAAAAGAGATGGCTAGGCATTTACTTCCTTCCACGGGGACCCATGATGGGGGCTTGCTTGGGACCATTCTTAATGGCCAACAGGTCCCCGGAGGAGGTCGAGCCAAGGTATCCAATGGTGGTGGCACCGCCCAGCACCAAAAACTTCAGGAGAAGACCACGCTTGGTGAAGGCTCCAGCGAATGTCTCAAAGAACTTGTTCTGCAATGAGAACACATCGGTGAGATTGGACTGAAACATCCCCACATCACGCAAGGGAACAATGGAACCATAACGAAGATGTACCTTCAAAACATCAGAAAGAAAGACGCTTGAGGTACCCCTTTTCCGTCAATTGCTTCGATGAGGGGACACAAACGCAAGCGTGATTGCGCATACAAGTCATTGTCACTTTACCTGGAAGCCATTGTATCGATTAGGATCGTCGTTGCCGTAGAGGTCCCAGTTCCCGGTGGTGTTGTCAATCTCCCCAAGGTCAAAGTAGACGCTCTTCTCACCATACTTGGCGCTGATAGCTCCGACCCTACTCAGTGTAAAGTAGAATATTCATAATCATTCATTATAACATTGCTCTCCGGAAAGCGTCACTATGTTTTGGGATCTCGAGTACGACAGGGAAAGACCTAGGCAAGATGACGACCACACGAGGAAAAGACAGGATCCGAAAACCGACTTCGGGGCATGACAGGTGAAACTCAGTCAGCGCGCCCTAACACAGTCTCACATTAGTAAACCATTTGAATATTCCCAAAAATCTCCCTCGCTGCGACAGCAGCATTCGCCGTCTCACACTAATTTGAACCCACAATTAACTCTCAAAAGAGTCAAGGCAATCCCCTGATGACAACCAACTAACAAGAAGGGTGCTGACGCAAAGAACATCTTAATCAACGCCACACACAGCGCATCAAAATACCCACATGATATCGAGCAATGTGAAGGAAGAGAATCACATACTTGGAGGGGGATCGAACGGAGACGCTCTTGGCGGGGGCGATGGCAAACTTCTGACCAGCCAAAGAGCTCCCGGCCAAGCCGGACACGGCCATGGTCGCGGAAGCAGCTGCCATTGCGAAGGGAATTGATCACCCAACAAGGATCCAAAGGAATTTCTGTAAAAGACCCACACGACGCTTGCAGCCCCCGAATTACCTCAGAAAGCTAGCTTGCTACAATCGTCGACATGCGCGATGGCCTTCATGTGATTCGGGACGGGGCGGAGACGCCCGCGGAGCCACGGCCGGATAAGGGGTGGACGTTTCCGCGGCCAATCGCTGGGTCCTCCTAGGCGACAGCCAATGGGCAGTCGCCTGCTTGGATAGATAGCTAGGGTGACTGGACGGGCCGGTGCACCGCGGTCTCCTCGGTTGGGACTCCTCCAATTGGATGGCCTTCGTTTCGATTGTGTGGATTATGAAATGGATCCACGCTCGCAGGTCCCTTTTCATACGAACCAATAATATTGCAAACTGTATATTTTGTATTTTTATTTTTGTTTTACTCTAAAGAAATTTTTGTAATGGTGGGAAATCAATCTCCAACCATGTGTGTGTTTGTGTGTGTGTGGCCGTGTGGATATGATTTTCTAGAAAATATGTCTATTTTTAATGGAATTCTGATGGTGATGCTATTGGGCAAAATTGTGGTGAAAAAAAAAAATAGATGTATATAGGACTGTGCAGGCCTGTCTTGGGTTCTGTTACTGGGTTGTTTTGAATTTAAAAACCTTAAAGGATTCTTTAATAAAAGGATGAAATAAGATAATCATTTTGAAGAAATCAAGGCTAGTGTTTCTCAACAATTCACGCTAAAATTTTATTCAATCAAGAAAAGAATCACTACAATCAGCAAGAATATGGCAGAAAATTGCAGTTTACTGCATCTGGTGATTAACTTGGCATAAGCTATTGTATACAAAAATCTTCCTATAAATTTATCCTACAGTGTTTAGTGAAAATAAGAGTTTTATTTTGTATCTGTGGAGGTGCATGGCACGAGGTGTCCATGTAGTAAAAGGATGGTTCCATGGATTAATTTAGAAGATGTTGTGGTAGCATTCATGACAAAATGGCTTTGTAAAGCAATGGAATCAAAAATAAATAAATTCTTATCTCATACTACAGTATGAATTGTACCAATTTTCAAGATATATCAATAGTTATTAGTAGTCATTGAATTCAAGATATCTTAATAGAAATATCTTGAGTGAAATATCAAATTAAGTATATTTTATTAAAAGCAAAAACTTTAAGGTCTTTAACACTATTGTTAAACTAATAAATTATTAATAAAAAAATTTAATAGTCATTTTTAATGACATAAGAATAAAAAGCAATAAGTTCAAGAAATAAAAAAAATACATTATTAATTAGAAAAAAAACTAAATATAAGTAAAATAATAATGATAATTTTAATTGGTTTAAAATTTGTATTGGCAAGAAGATTGTGTTTATTTTGTGGTTTATTTTGTCTTTTTTTCTTATTTATTGTTGAAATTTCGGTTTTGAAGTTTTCTTATTTATTGTTAAATATTATTGAATCCTACAAATGCTTTTGTAGAAGATTCTAGATGAACACAAAAAAAAAAATCTTTGACACTCCTAAATAATTATAGATGGTTATAGATATCTCTAAAAATATACTAGATATTTTTAGTATTAATATCCATGACATTTTTTTTTAATTTGTAGAAGATGCTTAAATATATAATATGTTCTTTACCCATAACATTGTTGTTTTTTCTTAGAATAAGTTTGATAAGGAGCTTTTTATAAACTATCTCTATGCAAATCTAAACAATTAATAAAATAATTGGAATTCGTTTTTGATATATGATGTCCTTGAATTTGTAATTGATACAAAAGCTTACAGATTTGATCAGTAATTATAGCCACAATATTCAGTATTAATACAAATAATTTATTGATTTTGTCTATATTTGGTTATTTTATTGATTAGTGAAAGGTGACATATCAACTACTAAGTTTGATAATACCAATCTGAAATAGTATAATTAAAGTTCAAGCATCTTATTCAAGATTTCTTGATCAAATCCACTTATAGCAGGGTTTTACTTAACATAGCAATGATCTTGTTTTATCTTTAGGATATCCATATGATAATAATGGTTGTGAAAATCCTTATGTATCTTTTAAAATTTAAAATAAAAGTTTTACTGAGAACTGAGAAAAAACTTTATAATCAGAGAGAGTAAAATTCCAAAGATAAACCAATGACCTTGACTTGCAAAGTATCAATGAATTAATAATTTTCTTTCATTTACTTACTCAAACGTTGTTATATGCAATAAAAATGAATTATTTTAAAATCTAATTTATTACCTTTATTATTATGATTTATTTTTTTTTATAAATTTAAATAAAATCGGTTTTAGAATAGAAGGTTGTTTTTTATATTACCTTAACACCTTAATTACATTAATTACATTGATTATCTAAAGTATTGTTATTTTTTAATACATTTATATTTTTGTTTATCAAATAAAGTTATTATTTTGTACTTAAAGTGCAAAATTATTTAATTAGTTTTTTAGTCATATTAAAAAAAAAATAGATTCATACAAATTTTTAAAAATTATAAAAGAATTAAATTTTTATCATTTTAGTCTATTGATTTTTTTTAAAAAATAAAATAAATGTTATGTTTATTTTTTATATTTATAAATTACATAGTTATTAAATATCAAAAGTTTAATCTTTTTAATTCTTCTTAAAGATTTATTTATTATTTATTTATTTTTTGTATATTGATTTATTCATCTTAATTTTATGAAGTTCAAATTATGAAGGTCCAAGAATCATTAGATTTGAGAGAAGTTGGATAATATTGAAAATAAATTATATATCTAAATCTAGTTAATCTACTTCTGATTATTTCATAATTTTGTATTTCTTAATGTTTTAAGTTGATTAAGAATAATTTAAATTTAAATCGTTAAAATATTTATTATTGGTAATATTTATGTTATTAAGCATTTTATTCATCAATAGAACATATCAATGTTTTAGTTTCTAAAATTACTTTTACACAACTATTTCTATATTGTATTTTTATACATATAGGAAGTTTAAAAATTCAATAAAATTTAGAAGATAGAAAAAAATGTATTATTCTTTAAAATGAATTGTTAATGCTTAACAATATGATTCTTATTATAACTAAATGTTAAATGTTTAAGTGAAATAGTTTTGCTAATTAGCAATGTACCTTACTTTCCTTAATACTTTTTAAAAAATTATTAATAATTTCTACAAAATTATATAAAAAATTTATTTAAATAATTTGTAATTGAGATTGAAGAAAATAATTCCTTACTATAATACCTAAAACTATATCAAAATTAAATAACAGATTATTTTATTTACCTATTTATTTTTAATCTAGATATATAATAAAAAAATAAAATAATGTTCTTTTGATTATATATATATATATGTATGAAAATTTTAAATTCAAAATGTACTTTTTGAAGTTTATGTAAAAATTGGAAAATTTACTTTTAAAAATAGTAAAAACTAATCAATATATTAATTTATACATACATAAATTAATGACTTCAAATCTTGCTTAGAAAAATTCTTGTAGAAAGTTTTCTATTCAAATAAATAGAAATAAGTTAACATCTTAAATAAATTTTGGATTTTTGGATTTTTATAATTTATATTAATTTATTTTATTTTTTAGTTACTGAATCTGTTGTTGAGTTAATTTGTAGTTAATTGGTGATTTTGTTTGAAAGTATACTTTTACTACTAATCTTTGATATATATATTTTTTCAATCATATTTTTTCTTCTCACTTATTTAAATGTTTAGTTAATAAATTATTCTCTTATCATTGTATCTAGATTATTTAGAATTACAAAAGTTAATGAAGTGTATTTTTTCATAATCAATCAAAGATGCTTTTGAAGAGGCACAAAAATTAGTTACAATTTTTGCTTTGAAAAGGTTCGATCTACTTGATCTAATAATATATATATATATATATATATATATATATATATATTAAAAAGTTCTTGAAGGTGTTTAAAGCCACACATTATTATATTTTGTGATATTTGTGAAGACTGCATTTGAAGAAGATTGTTTTTGAAAGTTCTAGCTTTACTTAGAGTTATCTATATAAATTTCTGATTCTCAATTTTTTTTTTGTCTTCACACTTCAGTACACATACTTAGAAGTATATTGAGATGTCTCAGAAAAAAAAAGAATATTAATAACACAGTCCAAAACCATTTTGGTTATGTTCTTAAAAGAGTAATACTGAATGTGCATCTAAAATGCATAGTCTAAATATTAATAAAAATATATCTACATAATTGGCTTGTAAAAAAAAAAGCTTATAATTATTTAAATATTAATAAATAATAAAAAAACGTGTTATTAAAGACACAAGACATAGAACAAGTATCAAAAAATTTGGTATACAAATAACACATTTGTTACATTTGTCATAACCATCAACAAATACTATTTTTATTTAAAAATGTGCATGAATATTTTTTGTTAGTTAATTTATAATACATAGATTAATTTTATATCTATCTATAATTAATTAGAGATTTAATATCAACTTAGATTCTTAAAACAGAAATTAAATTAAATTTGCAAAAAAAATTTTATGAACAAATAAATAGTTTGCAATGTGATATTTTTATTAATATATTTGTTATAAAATATATCTCTATACTTTGCGTTCTTTTCTCTTTCTTTTATTATCTACCATGAAGAAATACATAAAAAGATGATTTATCTAGTGGTATTAAAAAAATTCAAGAAAATTTCTATAAAAGATTACATTATTGGAAGCAATGTCTAACTACTCAAGCATGCTTGTGATACACTTTGTTTATTTTTTTTGTTATGTTATATGACAATTAAAATTCTTTCATTGTCTTTGAATTTTTTTTTTTCTATAAAATTTTCTTTGTAAGCAAAACTATTGTATATTTGTAGATATAATCAAATACATAATTTATTTTATTTTATTAAGTTTTATTTTAACATATACAAGCTCTATTTGTTGTAATGACTAAATCTTTGAAAAACATACTAACATTCAAAATCTTGAGTTCTTATCAATGAAATAGATTTTAAAGCATCTTATTGTATATTATTCATATCTTTGTTTTAAATGGTTCTAATTTCTCCATCTAAA